AATAATGGTTTGTTTATTTTGAATGTATTTATTGTTTATAGCAATAAAGATGAGATAACTAATGAAATGCTATTGCAATCGGCAGTCTTTGTCGTCTTGGCTCCAAAAGCTAAATACACAGACATTGAAGTGAGTCTATAATTCAATAATTAATAATTGCTTTAGATTCTAACATTTCTAAGTTTAATGATTTTGTTCAATAATAATAGTTTAAACATTTGAGAAAATATATTCAAAACGGAGGAAAATTATTTGTTATGATTGGAGAGGGAGGAGAACGAAAGGCTGGAACTAATGTCAACTTCTTGTTAGAAGAATATGGAATTGCTATCAATAATGGTCAGTCATTGAATCACATTTCCAATGATCCGCACAATTACTAAAGTATTTACAAGCATGGAATACACTGTAAAAACTTGTCCAACTCTTAAGAATTGCACCCAAAGTACACAATAATACAGTATTGCACTTATTATCCATTCAATAAAAGTATAAATCAATTTTCAATATTTGCGACTATTGTAGTTTATAAATTTTTATAATTAAAAATATTTTATATATTAATTCCAACACAACCTATCCTCAAATTGTAGAGAAATAAATGCATGTTTAATGTGATTATGTTCTTTATATTGTGATTTAGACATATTAGAGAGTGATCATTAAAAATAATAATTGCTAGATACATGTTTGGCTTATTTATAGCCTATAACTTTACAAAATGATAATTTAAACATAATTCTCAGATTCTGTGGTTCGAAGTGCTTATTATAAGTACTATCACCCGAAAGAGGCTCAGATAGGGAACGGTATATTAAACAGAGGACTGCTTCAAAGTGCAAACAAATTACAGAAACTTGTTAACGGAGATAATGATGACATGAATCAGATTCAGAACATTAATTTCGTTTATCCGTTTGGGGCGACACTCAATGTGGCCAAACCAGCCATAGCCGTACTGTCGACCGGTTCACTCTCACTACCGCTTAACCGTCCCATCTGTGCCTTCTATGATGAGACCAAAAGTGGGGGCAAAATAGTAGTGTTGGCGTCCACTCAGATGTTCAATGATGTCTACATTGAAAAGGAAAACAACTCTTTAGTGAAGGATATAATAATGCATTACTTAAGTGACCCTAACTTTGCGCTCAATGCAATCGATTCCCAAAATCCTGAAGTTTCCGATTATTACACGATTCCGGACATTGAATTACTGTCAGAACAACCCTTTTCTAGTCTCGAAGAAAGCGAAGAATTGCCGTCCGATTACAACAAACTCTTTTCCAAAACGATTAATCAGATCACAAACTCAGAGCTGACACAAGTCATCAAAGCGTATGAAGAGTTACAGATGGATAGAGAGGCACTGAAACTGATAAAACCGCAGTTCGATACACCACTCCCAGTACTACAACCGGCCGTTTTTCCGCCTACCTTTCGAGAGCTATCAAAGCCTGGACTCGAGTTATTTGATTTGGACGACGATTTCAGTTCAATACCCACACGACTCACGCAAATCGCCAACAAATGCAGTGAATCTGATTTGGAGTACTTTGTGAGAGAGTGTGGACTCATTCTCGGCATAAGTGAGGCAACGACTGGCGCTAAATCAGCCAAAGCTGTCCTCAACTTTATGTTCACCAAAATTGTTGAATTCAAAAAAGTCAATAACGACCACAATTTGCATTAATTGTACGGGATCAATAATAATATACAGCAACTGATAGTTTGCAAAATGTAATACAAATTTATTCAAAAATATGTTTATATAAAATCACATGAAATCGTCGGAATCGTAGCCGTCCTGTAAAGCAGTTTATAATTTGATTACAAATAAAACAATTGTATGTTTACTATAAGAACTAATACTTGATTCGTTTGCATGTTTTCCGACTTCATAACGGAGTCATAACTCTTGATTTTGGCCATCTCTTCCTTCCTCTTCATCTCCTCCTTCTCTTTCAGTTTGATATTCCTTTGAATTGCTTTCTGGTCCTCCCTTTCCTTGCGATCCCTTTCCTCTCGTTCTGCCCTGAAGTCTACGTTTTCTTTTGTAACCTTTTGTTTGAAATAATTGCATATAAATTGGCGAACATTTAGTAATCACTTCTGAATACACTGTAAATGAATGCAAAGTCTGTGCAAACCTTTGTCTTATCGAGTCTTTTGATGATATCATTGATTTTCTTCTCGACTCTCACTGTTCTGACGGCCTTCTGGTCGTGGAATCCGACCTTTCGATCAATAGATCTCACCATTGATTACAAGAGCAGTGGTGGTGTGGATGGCATACCTGTCCGACTTCCATGGCAGCGGTTTTGCGCAGATTAGACCACATGGTGTACACGACATCGATGTCATTCATCTTACAGCCCCTAATGCTGTTCTGCTTAACCAATTGGCAGCAGTCGTCGATCACCGCCGACGGGATGTCGTCCAATGTCTCGCCTTTCTTCAGACGGAGGTATACGTGCGCTGAAGACTCGTTGTCCACATGAAACCACACGTCCTCAGGCCATCCCCAACGGATCAGCTCCTCATCTGAAACAACATTATATCACTCAAGACGTCAATGTCGAGTCAATAGATGTCTTACTCTCGTGTTTATCAAAACCCATGTATAGCGTCATCGGCGGTGACACCACTGCACACACAGACATATGTTTCAATAGTTTATACAAAAGTGATGATATTATCAATAGATTGAGACATTTGTTCAAACATTACAAACCATTGGTCGTGAAGTAGTGAACCATTTGCGGCGAAGACTTCTTGGAGTGAATGGACTCCGACTTCAAACAAATGAACCAAAAGTTGAAATGAGTTTCAAAACAAACACTGATTTCGTCACTCAATGCGAGTTTTGTCGTCATTTATGTGTCGTTTGAATGTTTGGCGCCTTTTGTGACAAAACAGTGAATCAATTGAATGCGGATTTGGTTTGGGTTTGAGTGAAGAGTACCACAGATTTGAGTGAAGANCGTCACTCAATGCGAGTTTTGTCGTCATTTATGTGTCGTTTGAATGTTTGGCGCCTTTTGTGACAAAACAGTGAATCAATTGATTGCGGATTTGGTTTGGGTTTGAGTAAGAGTACCACAGATTTGAGTGAAGAGTACCACAGATTTGATGGATTTATTCGAGAGTCCATTGAAGGCACTGAAGACCAATGAAATCACTAATTATTTCCCTATTTTTGAACGAAAAGCAGAGACGAGTGTCAAGAAGTCCAATGTCTCGAGGAATGGCTTGAAATGCCGGTCAGAGAAGAGATCCAAATCGACGGCCAAAGACAACAAATCCAATGCCCGAAGAAAACTGTCGTTATTCAGCGCATCGGATCAGTTGGCCCTCGACTTCGGACAGAAAGACTTCGACTCCAAGCGCTGTAAGACATGTAATATGTTGTACACGACTGGAGAGGTGGTCGACGAGAGGACTCACTCGGAATACCACGACATGTTTGTCAATAGCTTGAGATTCAACGGTTGGAAACACGAAGACGTGGTCTCTGTCTATGAAGACGGAAGAGTTGTACGCATTGTCGCGAATCAGAGACACAAATATATGCTTAAGAAAGTGGACGAACTGTTCAAAGTGGCGGACATCGAGTTAGGCATTAATGTGGCACTCGATCAGTGCGTGAAGACCTCTTCGGTTTACCTGATATTCGCCACAAAGACGCGACGAATCGCCGGTTTTGTGGCCGCGGAGAGGATTCAGTCGGCCAACCATCTCATCAGCGAAGACCCATTCATGGCGTCCACCGATGAGGTGGTGGCCGAGTGTGGAGTGGCCCGCATTTGGACGCATCCCAACTACAGGCGCCAGAAGATTGCCACTCGACTGCTGGACACTCTTCGCATGACGTTCACGTTGGGAAAGACTATCCAACGCTCGGATATAGCCTTCTCTGACCCAACCATTAACGGCAAAGACTTTGCCAAACACTACACCAAAAGACACGACTTTTTGGTTTATTGCTACCAAAGCTTCTAACCAATAGTCTGTTCATGATTTGCATTTAATGTGAGAAAAGTATTTTATTATTTGTTTTACGATTGCCTTAATATTACTTAATTTTATGATTGGATATATTTTTTAAATTGCCAAATTAAAGCTTCTAACCAATAGTCTGTTCATGATTTGCATTTAATGTGAGAAAAGTATTTTATTATTTGTTTTACGATTGCCTTAATATTACTTAATTTTATGATTGGATATATTTTTTAAATTGCCAAATAATGTATTATCGTATATAAAATACTTAAATATTCAAACTGTGATTACAATGAATACTGTATATTTGATAACTTACTCTACTTACAATTAGCAAATATATTAAATTCAATGAATACGCCAATAGAATAAAAGACAATTAACTGTAAATGAATGTAAATGTAATTTTTAATTAATAAATCAAATCCAATACAATATTTAAAGAAATTGACTCTTAAAATAAATTTTTATAAAACGGTTCAACATAAGAAACTAACAAAACAATCGCAAATATTTGTTAAGTTTCAAACAATTAGATAATAATTAAATGTTTACGGTAATACAGTATTATAATTTATATCACAACTGATTTATGAATTAAATAAACAAAAATATGAAATGATTACTGACTAACACAGAGAAATTAAATACTGTATCATAAATGATTAGTTTC